GATCAAAATTCCAAGTTCAATATTATATATTTACTGATAAAATATCATTATTAGTTTAAAAATGTAAATCACAAAATCACATTTTATATCTTAACTGGGTCAAATTCAATAATATTGTTCACGAAAATAAATAAACTTAAATAAAGTCACAGCAATAAAGTGTTGTTACAATTAGGTTAATTTTATAGATCACAACATTATATCGGCATTTAAACAAGATCATGATCAAAAATATAAGTCACATAAATAAATTAGTGTTTAAACTAGGTCAACTTGTGTATTGGATTTAATGAATATGACAACTTCTCAATATATTTTTGTTAAATAAAATTATAAATTATTTTTATTTTATAGCTCTACTTCTTGTTATTATTCAATGACATCGATGTAGATTTATTATTATACAATAATAAATATTATAACAAATATAAAATAGAGTGATTCCCCAAGTTACATTACTNTTTTATAGATCACAACATTATATCGGCATTTAAACAAGATCATGATCAAAAATATAAGTCACATAAATAAATTAGTGTTTAAACTAGGTCAACTTGTGTATTGGATTTAATGAATATGACAACTTCTCAATATATTTTTGTTAAATAAAATTATAAATTATTTTTATTTTATAGCTCTACTTCTTGTTATTATTCAATGACATCGATGTAGATTTATTATTATACAATAATAAATATTATAACAAATATAAAATAGAGTGATTCCCCAAGTTACATTACTTTTATTATTTACATTACTGATTTTATGCAAATAACTTAGTAGCTACCATAATATAACTAAAAATATTAGTATTTTACTTAATAAAATAAAATATTACTATAATTGGTGTTTTTCTGGACTTTTATAGGAAATTTTAGTCAATACCATATTCAAGAAATAATTTTATTGTTTTTTTTATTAATCTATTGTGTTAATGGTTGCAAATTAGATTACACAATTATTACAGGATTTAATATTACGTCCTATCAGATTATTGATTGTTCCCATTTTTAGAATAGTTTAAAAATGCACTTATATCATACACATTTTATTTAAAATCTAATAAATATCAAGTGGTATACATATTAAATCATCGATTCCATAATACACCATACTTGTTATTTGTTCATATTATTTCATATTATTTTAATTTAATTTTTTCTTTTTTAAAATATTTTTTGAATAAATTTATTACTGGTCAATAACCAGTTTTATAATATTATTTTTGAGATATTAATAAAAAGAGATTAAAAAAAAGTGGAAAGCAAGGTAAATTTATCGACGCTCTATTTTCACTATATTTATATATAGAACAGATAATAATTACTTTACATTGTGCACATTTTTTATGAATAACTAAAAANTAATAGACAAAACTTGTAATTTTCATTAACAGTAAGGTTTCTCAATGACATTCACATAATTAGAAATGTGATTTTTCATTTAGAGCTTAATTTAATAATACCCCTATGTGGGTGTATGATTTTAAATTAACGAAATTATCTAACCAGAAGCAATGAAACCATACAGCAGTATTTATATACATAAGTATCTTTGGTCACGGACTGTTTGAAGAAATTTTGAATTATGCCTGTCAATTCTATACATTAAAGGTATTCTAAAGTTTAACAGAAAATATGCTCGTTAATTTCACAGTATTCAAAAAATGCTCGTCAGATGATGCTATATCTATGTAAACGAGATATTGTAGGTCGCATATTTTATTGATCCTATAGGTAAGCTTATCGTACCATTAATTAATTTTTAAGTATCTCACAGGCCGAATAAATATCCTACAACGATTTATGCAAAAGTACTTTTAAAGTATTTATTAAGTTTTAATAAAACCAACATTATTCATAAGTTACTGGATTAAATTTTTTCAGATAATTAAATTTTATACTAAAATGTATTGAAATATGTTAACTCAAAGCATAATACTTAAATCTATGGTTAAATTTGTATAGTAATCTATTTTAATTCTATACATTGTAGTAAAAGTAAAAAATAATTTGTCAAAAATATAATTTTATTAAAAGAAAATAACAAAAAAGTGGCAAAAACAGTGGGGTCGTGGCATAGTTGGGTCCAGTATAGATGATATCTGACAGTGATTAAAATCACTATCATAAAAAATGCTTCGATGCAAATCTGTAGATAGTGTTTAATTAAAAAAAAAAATTTGTTAAAATAGCATATTTTTGAATATGGTAGCCATTTGCGCATAGAAGATAGGTCGTCGGGACAATTTTTTTTTTTCATTTTATAGTACATAAAATAAGCCTTAATTTGATATATGTTTAAAGGACGTAGTATTTCCTGAACATTTTCAAAAATTAAGTTGAAAAAGTTAGTTTTTGTAAAAAAGTTACTATTTTAAATCCCCCCAGTGAGCAGAATAAGTGTTAGATTTTCAAAAAAAATTATATCAAATGAAAGGGAAATATCTAAGGTTTCAATACAAAAAAATATTATTTTTATTTGTTCATTTTTGAAAAAGTTATGGCAGTTTTAAGTACAAAAAACATCCCGATAAAATGTAATTTTTATCGCAAACATTACATTTTTTTTTAAATTTTCGACAGCCATTTGCACATAGAAGATAAGATGTCGGGACAAATTTTTTTTTTTCATTTGATAGTATATAACATAACCTTTGATTTGATATATGTTTAAAGGACGCAGTATTTCCGGAACATTTTCAAAAGTTCAGTTGAAAAAGATCTATGTTTTTTACAATATTTTAAGTTTTGAACGCCCCCTATATAAGGGGAAATTGTCCAATTTTAATAAAAAGTATGTCAAATGAAAGATGTACTTATAATGTATTTAGAAAAAAAAAATTTGTGCTGATATATACATTTTTCAAAAAGTTATAGCATTTTTAAGTTGAAAATTTAAAATCGAAAATCGAAAATTTTAACACAAAAATAGTGTTTTTTTAACTACGGCAGCCGTTTAAATGTAGAAAGATAGGTCGTCGGGACAATTTTTTTTTTTCATTTTATAGTACATAAAATAAGCCTTAATTTGATATATGTTTAAAGGACGTAGTATTTCCTGAACATTTTCAAAAATTAAGTTGAAAAAGTTATTTTTTGTAAAAAAGTTACTATTTTAAATCCCCCCAGTGAGCAGAATAAGTGTTAGATTTTCAAAAAAAATTATATCAAATGAAAGGGAAATATCTAAGGTTTTAATACAAAAAAATATTATTTTTATTTGTTCATTTTTGAAAAAGTTATAGTAGTTTTAAGTACAAAAAACATCCTGATAAATGATAATTTTTATCGCAAACATTACATTTTTTTTTAAATTTTCGACAGCCATTTGCACATAGAAGATAAGATGTCGGGACAAATTTTTTTTTTTCATTTGATAGTATATAACATAACCTTTGATTTGATATATGTTTAAAGGACGCAGTATTTCCGGAACATTTTCAAAAGTTCAGTTGAAAAAGATCTATGTTTTTTACAATATTTTAAGTTTTGAACGCCCCCTATATAAGGGGAAATTGTCCAATTTTAATAAAAAGTATGTCAAATGAAAGATGTACTTATAATGTATTTAGAAAAAAAAAATTTGTGCTGATATATACATTTTTCAAAAAGTTATAGCATTTTTAAGTTGAAAATTTAAAATCGAAAATCGAAAATTTTAACACAAAAATAGTGTTTTTTTAACTACGGCAGCCGTTTAAATGTAGAAAAAAAAGTGTCGGGACAAATTTTTTTTTTTCATTTTGTAGTACATAAAATAAGCTTTAATTTGATATATGTTTAAAGGACGCAGTCTTTCCGGAACATTTTCAAAAATTAAGTTGAAAAAATTAATTTTTGTAAAAAAGTTGCCATTTTAAATCCCCCCCAATGAGCAGGTTAAGTGATAGATTTTCAAAAAAATGATATCAAATGAAAGGTAAATATCTAAGGTTTTAGTATAAAAAAAAATTATGTTGATTTGTTGATTTTTCAAAAAGTTATGGAAGTTTTAAGAAAAAAAAGTGAAAAAATTTCGAAAATTAGCGATTTTTAAATTTGTAATTTTTTTGGATATTTCCCCCATTTGCGGGGAACGAGGGAATTTTTTTCAATTTTTAAGGGTAATGTCTTCAACTAGATACGATTTGTGATCTTTTGACGTATTTTTGAAAGAAATCGGTCCAGTGAGAGCTGAGAAAAAGTGGCAACAGACATTAAAAAAAAAAAAAACACATCATAGTAAAATTAATACCTTCTCCGCTTCGCATCGAAGCTAAAAAATAATTACAAAAAAGTAATAATACAAAACTGAATATTTACCAGTAAAAATGTATTGGACAACTCTCCATTTATTAATGAAAAAGTAATAATAGGTTTCCATTTTTCTTTTGAATATTATACCTAAAATATACTATTAAAAATATCTTATAATTTTATATTTACTATGGATTATAGAAATTAATTAATTTTTATCAGATTTTTATAAAACAAATATTATTTTACAAAAGAATGGATAGTAGTATTCTTAACAGATCACACTGTATATGTCAGGGTAATAAAAATACGCTTTTCCTCAAAATTCCTCATAAATTTATATTTGTTTCAAGTTACTTGAATAACTATTTTTAGAATTTTGAAAAAAATTACAACAAATTGCGAAGTTATACAACATCGATTTTATATGATTAAATTAATTTAATTGAATTTCGACATTATTAATTTTATTGACGAATAATGCCAATAGAAATTTTGTTAGTAATAATTATATTTTTATAAGCCAATAATGAATATGATAAATCGTCATTTAGTTTGTTGAATTAAATTACTTCTGAATAATTATTAATATTTTACATAAACACACCTTGTTTAGTGACTTTTAGTATTTTAAAATATTAATTAAGTAAGGTAATAATGAATACATTATATCAATAAAAGCATCGATATTTATACTTGATTTTGTTGATATAGTAAATGAATAATACTATTAATTTTATAAGAAAAACACATACTGTAAAAATACATAATAACAAATAATAAGTTAACTTTTCTTAAATTTGTAGGACATACAATGTTATTGACAGGTATTGATTATACTCCCAGTATTCAAATTGATAATTTTACAATTACACTTGAAATATATGATAATTTATCACCGGAAATTAAAAAATTGGCTGAAACAGAACTAAGAGAAACGCCTGAAAACAAGAAAAATGGTATAGATAAACTGAGACAACTTCTTGAGCGTAAGTATATACCTAAATAAAATTAAGACGTTTATATTTAAAAAATAAGTAAATCAAATGTTGTTACTGTCTAGCGATTTTTTTTTAAGTCGTGACTATTTTATAAAATCATTTTAACATGGCTTTATTGATAGTGCCGTTCTGGCCCATGATGCTAATAGGAAATCAGTAGGGCTATTGGATTTTTTTTTTTGATAGATTGAAACCAATAAGCTTTAAAAATGTTTAAATTAATTATTAAAAATCAAATAGATATAATTATTTAAATGATCTAATATACTATACATAAATAAAATATGTATTACTCTACCGCTATATAGAGTCTCTAAGTAATCTTATTTTATTTTTCTTGAAACGTTTCTAAAACTCATTATTTGGATTACAGAGGATAAAAGCTTAAAAACTCCATTGTTCAACGATGCTTGGCTCATTAGTTTCCTTCGACCGACAAAATTCTACCCTGATAGTGCATATAAGCTGGTGATTAATTTATTTATATTTATACAAAAATATTTTAACAAAATTTGTTATTATTAACGTTTTTATAGATAAAAAGCTATTACCAGTTTAAAATTAAGTATTCAGACATGTACAGAAATTTATTACCGAGAAATCAAAAAATGGTATTTGACCAAAACATTATAACCGGCTTTCCAAAACGAGATAAAAAAGGCTGCCGTATAGTAGCTATTGAATTAGGAAGTTAGTATGATAGGTTGGTGAATTTATACTTAATTAATAATAAAACAAAAATCAATTTTTTTAAATAAAGAAAAGTTTTAAGAATTTCATAATTTTTCTTGTAAAAAAAGTAAAAATTCTCGAACTATATCATATTTGAGTGATGCTTCAACTTGACCAAATATTTCGGCCGTTACACAAAACGTAAAAAATATACCCTCTGTGTACGCCAGATAGTTTAATTATTTTAATTTATACTTTTAGATCATTTTAGATTCTATATCTTTTTTCTTTATTAATTAATTAATTAAGATTATTTAATTATAAATCTTTTTTGCTAATTTTCAAGGCTCAAATATGTATTTGTTTTCACATCTTTCGAGAGACTCCCGCTATATTCAGTTATTTTTTTTATAGCTTAAGTATAAAAAATGACAAATTTAATATGTTGTTTTTAGAAAAATGGAAACATACAGTTTATTCTTTAAACGATTTATTCAAAGGAATGGCGTTATTTATGGACGCTGTCATACTAGAACCAACATCCCAAGTGGCTGGTATTCAAGTCATAATAGACATGGATGATTTATCTGTGAAACAAGCTTTTCATTTCACACCTTCGTATGCTATGATGGTTCTCGATTGGATTCAAGTACGTGTATCAATTTTATAAGTGTAGTTTTACGATTTTGCTTAGTTATCAAGTGGAAATTATTTTATTTTACCATTAAACTCTCAATAGAATATACTTACAATCAGTCATTTAAAATTATTCGAATACTTGATTATTCGAATACTATGACAACAACTTGTCATAAAAAATTCCAAATTTGACGAGGCCATTTCTTCTTTGTACATGCACCTGCATTCAAATAGAACGGGTAATACTTAATGAAATGTCCACTAAAGGCTTACATTTTCAACGAATGTTTTAATGTTTGGAACTTTTAAAATGTTTAAAAAAATGTTATGTTTGAAATTACTTTTCTCTGAGAGTATTTAAATCTGTATCCTAAAAAATGTGTGCTTAAAATATTTGAACACATATTCCAAAAGTATTTTTAAAGTATTTTTTTATGATAGTGATTAAAATTACTATCATAAAAAACGCTTCGATGCAAATCTGTGTTAATATTTTAATAATTGATGGATTATTCCAAAAGCTACATGATCTCCTGTTTCCTTATTTATATCCTGATAACAAGTTTTATGATTTATAAGTATAATACATGAATAAATATATAAAGGGAAATGGTTTTATTTAAAACATAAAGTATGTAGAATGAAAGAGGTATATAAATAGTATTTATCATAAACAAATTGTATTGATCCATATATTTATCAAATAGTTATAGCATTATAAAACTGACATATATATAACTTTGATGTTAGTTTTCATCATTAAAACAAACTAAAGTCTGAAATTTTTCTTTTTCATGTTAAAGTATATTACATAAGCTATAATTTAAAATATATATAAGAGTGTCAGTATATCCGGAACACTTTCTAAAATTTAGTTCAAATAGTTCTACATTCTATATGTATTTTTAAGTTTTGAACCCCCTCTGTATTACAGTCCACGACAAAAAGATAAAGGCACAACATTTAATCANATATATATATACAGTCCACGACAAAAAGATAAAGGCACAACATTTAATCAAATAAAATTCTATATTTATACATATATGGATTCTATGTACTACCAAACTTCAGGTTATACCCAAATGATAGCAATCTTATATTATTTCTTGATCATAAATTAATAAGTGAAGTCTTATCGATGAATTTATTAGATTTTGTTGCGACAAAATTATAAAGGCAGTCAGTTTCGTTGCGTATATAGTAATAGTATGATTAAATTATCTTTATATAATACTTGTAATATACGTAATACAACCTAAATTTATATACTGTATTAACATAATTTTTGTAGTATTTTTATTATTTATGTAATTTATTATGGGAAATGCAAAACCACTATCTATGGAAGAACGAGGGAAAATTATGGCATATAAGGAATGCGGTCTTTCAAATCGGGAAATATCGCGTAGATTGAAAAGGAGTTCTACAGTGATAGATAATTTTGTAAAACTTAGCCAAAACTATAATTCCAAGAAGTCTACAGGTCGACCGCAAGTATTAACTGATCGTGAAAAAAGAGCAATTTTAAGAGTTGCATCGAATTCTGCTTTGTCTGCACGTGGTATTCTCAATCAATGTAGTGTGAAAACTGGTATTCGTAACGTACAAAGGCTATTAAAAAGCACACCGACACTCATCCGAAAAAAACTATTACGAAAACCACCATTAAATGAACGTAATAAACAAGTAAGATTAGACTTTTCAAGAAACAAAACGAATTGGTCAAAAAGATGGAGAAAAGTAATTTTTTCAGATGAAAAAAAATTTAACTTGGATGGACCTGATGGATTTTCGTATTACTATCATGATTTAAGAAAAGATGAACGTATAATGTCAAAACGTCAAATGGGAGGAGAATCTGCAATGATTTGGTGTGCAATTGATTATAAAGGACGAAGTGAAGTTGTTTTTTTAGATGGTAGAATAAATGTTTTGAAGTATAAAGATCTCCTTAACACCCAAAAGTCATGTTTTCAGAAAATAGGCGGAAGAAATTTTATATTTCAGCAGGATAATGCGCCAATTCATACTGCTCGAATCATAAAATTATGGTTTGAAACAAATTCTATACCAATATTAGATTGGCCTGCACGATCTCCAGATCTAAATATTATTGAAAATGTTTGGGGGCTACTCGCCAATGAAGTTTATAAAGATGCCAAACAATATTCATCAGTTCGTAAGTTAAAAAAATCAATTTTAGATGCTTGGACACTAATTTCCCAAAACATCATAAAAAAACTTTATGACACCATTCCAAATGGAATTTTTGCAACTATTCGTGCTAATGGAGGTTCAACTAAATATTAATACAATAAAAAAATTAATAAAAATGTAATAAATTTTGTAATATAAAATAGTTTGTTTATATATAAATATTTGCCTTTATAATTTTGTCGCAACAAAATCTAATAAATTCATCGATAAGACTTCATTTATTAATTTATGATCAAGAAATAAGATAAGATTGCTATCATTTGGGTATAACCTGAAGTTTGGTAGTACATAGAATCCATATATGTATAAATATAGAATTTTATTTGATTAAATGTTGTGCCTTTATCTTTTTGTCGTGGACTGTATAGTAAATGGTCCGATTTAAAAAAAAAGTATGTTGAATAAAAAAAGTATACAAATAGTACTTATCATAAAAAAAATTATAATGGTTATAATTATAATAATTATATTTTTCAAAAAGTTATAGCATTTTAAAGTTAAAAATGCAAAATATAAAATCGAAAATTTTAACACAAAAATAGCATACGGTAGCCATTTTTACTATGAAAACAAAATAAAGTCCGAATTTTCTTTTTTCATAATAAAGTATATTACATTTTTTTAATTTAATATATACAGTGTGATTTTTTTATCATAACCCACTCAATTACTTACAGAATAATAATAATTAAAAATTTTTTTTTTATTATTATCTTTAGTTACACATTATTCTTGAATTATTAACTATGTAATACTTTTTAAGTTCATCCCTTATGCCTAGTAAGGGTGTCAACTTTGTTTTTTTAAATGGTAATACATATTTTTAATTTAATAAAATGTTTGAGTTTTTAATTTGAAAGTATATGGCATATAAATTTTTAATATAACTTTATTAGCTTATTAGATATAAACATTTAAAGTTTCAAAATTTTGAGTTAATATACATGTATAATACACATGGGATTGTAAATACAGGTAGCTAATTGGATTTTTATGACATTGCTGTCTCAGTCACGGATTGTTTATTATCAATTATGATTATCAATAGATATACTTTCTGTATTGTCAGTTAGTGTATTTATAAACTCATAACAATGTGCCTTACTACAATTGATAATAACAATGCTGTGTACCTGCTAATATCGATGTTATAAAAAACCATTTAGCTACCTATATTTGTAATCCCTTGTGTATTATACCTATATATTAACTCAAAAATTTGAAACTTTAAATGTTTATATCTAATAAACAAATTAAGTGTCATTCAAAATTGAAATGCCATTTACTATTGAATTAATAACTCAAACATTTTATTAAATTAAAAATATGTATTACCATTTAAAAAAACAAAGTTGACACCCTTACTAGGCATAAGGGATGAACTTAAAATGTATTACATAGTTAATAATTCAAGAGTAATGTGTAACTAAAGATAATAATAAAAAAAAAATTTTTAATTATTATTATTCTGTAAGTAATTGAGTGGGTTATGATAAAAAAATCACCCTGTATATAAAAGTGACAGACTTTTCGGAACACTTCCAAAAGTTAAGTTAATTTTTTGTGAAAATGTTGTCATTTTAAATCTCCCCTTGTGGGCAGGTAAAGGGTCAAATTTATAAAAAAAATACATTAAATGATAGGTAAATACCACGTGCATTTATAAAAAAAATTATATTGATTTGGTCATTTTTGAAAAAGTTATGGCAGTTTTAAGTAAAAGAATTTCATAAATTCGCGATTTTGAAATTTGTAATTATTTGGAGATTTCCCCCATTTACGGCAAATGAGGACATTTTTTTCAATTTTTGAGGGTAATGTCTTCGACTAGATACGATTTGTGATCTTTTAACGTATTGATGAAAGAAATCGGTTCCGTAAAAGCTGATAAAAAGTAGTAACAGACACACACACAAAAAAAAACACATTATATTAAATCCAATACCTTTTCAGCTTCGCATCGAAGCTAAAACACATCATAGTAAAATTAATACTTTCTCAGCTTCATATCGAAGCTAAAATGTACAAAGAAATTTAAATTTAATTGTAAATCTATTTAGAATTAGAATATATTAAATTAAAATGTTTACAAAGGAACTATATTTTAGTTTCAATGTTTAACTGAAAATGTATTTTAACTGTATATTTCTCTTGAATTATGTACCTTAGAACAGTGTTCCAATGAGAACCAAAGCCATTCATATTATAAACCAACCATTCATATTTGATATTGTTTACAAAATGTTTAAACCATTTTTTAAACGAAAATTACAGTCTAGAGTAAGTATTTGTAATATATTTAAAAAAAAAATGTTTAAAAATTAAATTTGTGAATTATTTATGTTACTAGATTTTTTTTCATGGTACAGATTTTAAATCTCTTCACGAGCATATTCCCCAGTCATGTCTTCCTGAAAGATACAATGGATCCTTAGAATTACCTGAGCTAAATGGCTCCAAAATATATGAATTACTGATGACCATTGAAAAAGAATATGAAGGTAACATAACTCATTATTGAGTACTATTAATGAGAATATTGAATATTTAATGAGTAATACTCATTAAATATAAATAATTTAATATTTTTGTAACTTTTTTTAACTTTAATAATTAATAAATATAATTTTGTAATTTTTAATTATAAAAGTATTTGATTATTAAAATAAATATTATTATAAGGCTGAAATTAAACTACTAAATTAAAAAATTTAATTTTAGCAATTAATCAGTATGGTTATCAAATGATTCGTCATTCAAGATATTAGCGAATTTTTAACTTTTTGGAAATTTCAATTTAAAGTCTACATATGTCAGTGAAATTTAAGTATTATAGTTGATAAATAATTGATGGCAATGTAATAGTATAATCTTATGTATGTATCTAACATTTGCAGAAACACCAGGCTTAGTCTAGGTAAATTTTTACTAATATTTTATTTTAAATTATATTTCATTATTTTATTTTATTACATAATTTATTTTGTTATTTTATTAAGACATAAATGTTGTTTTGTAATTATAAGTATAAAAATTATTGTAATATGTATTGTAGATATAAAAATTTATAAATGCAAATATTTGTATGTATAAAATAATAGTTACCATGCAGGGATAAATCAAGAATTTTTTTTAAAGAGAGTTCAAATTTTTTCTAGTCTTTACATAATAATTTTTTTTTAAATTTCATCATGCAAGGACTTTTTTACATGATAAATTAAGGGGAGGGTATAAAGCGATTGTTAAGAAATTAAATAGATATGAGTAGTGAAGTCCCTTGCGTTTGTAAGTGATGTGCTTCATCTCCAAAATTTTTATTTAAACGTAAAAATTTATACGAAAGAAATATGACACGGCCCGCGTCGCTTCGTTATACACGATGCCCCGCGACTCGTGCCACCTTTATCAGCCGTCGCCCTATTTTATGAGTATTTGACTGAATAACACCGCGTGTTATACGCTACGGTGNTGACACGGCCCGCGTCGCTTCGTTATACACGATGCCCCGCGACTCGTGCCACCTTTATCAGCCGTCGCCCTACTATGAGTATTTGACTGACCAACACCGCGTGTTATACGCTACGGTGCAAAGTCCAGCAAATGCCGCACGGCCGACGACGACCCGCCGCAAATGGTGCGAGAGTCTTCCTCCCGTTGTGAAAGCGACAACGTCGACCAACCGAACCGCACCCGCGCACCGTCGCCTACAACGCTGCTAACCTTTTGCCGTCCAAGGATTACGCCGGACATCGCGTCGTCGACGCCAGCGAAAGTGCCGCGATATTATGCGAAGATTATTATTACTGTGTTAATCTTTTCGGTTTGTTTTATTTTTGTTAAAATAATCTGTTGTCGCTCATTTAATAAACGGCCCATGGGTCTCTACCCTCAAAACCAGTGTCGACCACATTTTTGCGACGCAAGTCGTGTCAAATAATTTACGTAAAAAAATTATTACAAAAATTCAAAAATCAAATATTTACCCTCCCCCCACAAATAAAAAGTCAAAAGTTAAAATAATTATTTTTATAAATAACATTAATATATATTGACAATTTAAATATATATGACAAACCGTTCTAGTTACAAAAAAAAATTTTCATATAAAAATTGTTTAAAATTTAATTTTGTATATGCTTATAAAAATATACTAATGAAAAAATAAGTTAAAATCATAAATTTTGAAGAAAATAAATACTTAAAATTAAAAGTGCGATATCAATGTTCCTTTTATTTTTAAAAAAATACAAAGTTCTAGTGACATAAAAATTATAAACATTAACACATGTTATAGAGTTTTTATTGAATCAATTAAAATTATTCCTCTTTAGAGAAGATTTCTTGATATCACAGTAATTTGTTTCAAACCTCTGATTTCGCTGAAACCTTGCAATTAAAATATTTAAATATGATTTGTTTTTTAAAGAATTTTTTATTCTTTCATACTGCATTTATATTATTATGAATTGTACAAATATTAATAATTGAATAGCTGGTTATAAAATATTTTAAGAATATTCATTCCCAAATAATTTAATTTAAAATAACTGAATAATATTGTATAATATACTGAATTTTAAAATAAAATAAGTTAACTTGCAAATATCTAGAACTATTCCAAAAACACTTAAACAAATATTTTAATTTTAAAAAGAACTTTGCAAATAGTAGATAAAATAACTAAACTTTAGTCAATATACATTAAATGTATAAAATATGTATATATTCTAACTAATATTAATCTAACAAATAAGTTATTCTAAATTTTGTTTTCTATATTTTCAATTGAATAAAAAATGTTCATAAAAATATACTATTTTACTTTTTTCATATTTTTGATAAATCAAAACGATACAACTAGTTATAGACTCGCGGATGAAAACGATTATACTAAATATTTATTTGAAGTAATCAATTATGTTCGATTTCAAGGCGAATATTCTTCAATACAACACTTAATAGACGGTTTAATGGGAAATTCAGATTCCATTCCAGACTTTATTGGAGACTTATGTCTACATCTAAATTACGATAATTTTACTAGAATATTTGATGCTATTAATAAATTACTTATCTGTAGATATACAATTGTTATAGAAATTTTCATTAAAAATATTGGTTTAATACTGCAATATTGTGATAGCTATCATTTAAAAAACCAATTTTATGATTTTACTGATTGCTTAATTACACTTAATGACGCATTAGAAAGTTCTAAAACTCTATTTGAAAATCTTAAGAATGTCATACAATTCTTTAGTAATTTAAATATAAAATACGTATTTAAAGAGTATGAAAAAAAAACAAACATTATTGATGAAATTTCTTTTATTAATAATCGCATTCAATCGAAAAGAAAATTGGATATACTTGAGTATATCGATAACAACGCTAATCCTAAAGTTGAGATGGTCGTTGAGGATTTTGAAAATGTTAAAAGTTTTCATAACATTATATCTTCGATGATTTCATTTACTTCTATTAAAAACAATAAGTACTGTAGTTTCCAAGATGAATTAAAAAATGATGATGCAATGGAGCACGATAACTATTCAATTTTGTGTTTAGATCATGTCCAAGTATGTAATAATCTCAAAGTATTTTATAATGAAGCATTCAAGGTCGAGTACATCAATTTGGGTTTTCATAACTTACTACATCCGACAACACCAGGGTAAAGTATACTATTATTTTTAAGTAATAGTTCATTAATAAATTTATTATTTTTGTAGAATGTTATTTTGTAAATTCATCCATGTTATTCAAACTATACTTCTTTAATCACTTTATGTTTAAAGAAGAAACATGTACATTACTCTTATTTTACAACATATATATACACAACATATTTTACAACGATGATACGGAATTCTGTTTCTATCAGCCTCATATCACATTATCAACCTATATTTAGGTAGATCAATTTATTATAAAACACTCGATTACTCTAAAAATAAATAGAATGTTGTAAAATAAATATGTTGCTTTTTTTGTTATATAAATTTGTTGATTTATTAACTATGAATTACTTTTTAAAATCATTCCTTATAATGTATTGGAGTGTCAAATATTTTTTGAAATGGTAATACATATTTTGAACTAGCTTATAAAATAGAAAATAAGAAAATGACTGGCCGATAACAACTATTTGATCAGTACATTGGGTGTTATTTTTATTTTTATATCTAGACGAAAAGAAAATTATCACCGGGAAATGACTAATGATAAAAATAAAAGCACCGACTCTTTCTAGTGATTACTTAAAATTATTAATAGCTTTCAACATTTGTTATCCATTAGTCATTTTCTTAATTAAATTATGTTCTACTTCATAAGCTAGTTAAATATATATATTACCACTTCATAAAAAAAAAATTGAAACCCATTAAATTATGAGGTCTTCTTCTTCTTCTTCCACGCATTAATCCCAACTACCTAAGTTTCATTTAAAATAATTATTTTGATATTTAAATATGATTTTAGCAATAAAAATTACATTGAGTATTTGATTTATTGAACACAATTTAGATTTTTATTTTACATATCTTATTCTTCTTCTTTCTCACCTTAATCCCAACTACTTGGGGTCGGCCACCCTTATCCTAAACTTCCACTTGACACGATCTCCCACATCCTCTACGCCCACATCATCTGTCCTCATATCGCATTCAATAACATGACCAAACCATCTAAGACCATTTTCCCTCATCTTATCCACAATTGACGCTATACCTATACTCCCTCTTTGTGCTCATTTCTTATCCTATCTTCTCTAGTCACTCCACTCATCTATCTAAGCATTCTCATCTCTTCTCTACTTTCTTATCAATCGCCCAACACTCTGAACTATACATAGTCTTACTATAGTCTTGTAGAATTTACCTTTCAGCCTCATTGGAATTCTTTTATCGCATAAGACACCAGACGCTTCTTTCTACTTCAACTACATGTACTAAATTCTATTGTTACATCCTCGTCAATACCACCGCTCTTTTGCACAACTGATCCTAAATACTTAAAACTTTCCACCTGTCCAATCACGTCCTCGCCTATTATCACTGGTCTTTCTCTCCTTTTGCTCTTCTGCCATACTTTGAATTGCTTTTTCTTATTTTTATGATTTTTTGAACGTCCTCATACCACCACCAGGTTTCCTTGTTTCCTGGCATTCTATTCCTACTCTCACCAACAATCTCCTTTGCAATATTTTTAACACAACTAGCAAATCTATTCCACACTGTCCTCTTTTTTACCGTCTTGACAAACTCTTTTTCATTTTCCCCTTTAAATTTCCACCAAAAAATTTTCAATTTTTTTCCCGTGTTCTTTCTGTTTTTTTATTTTCTTTTCCCGGTACACCGAAAATCCATTATCATCAGTCTATGCTGTGTAGTTACCCTCTCGCCTGGTATAACTTTACAATCCTTTACTCGCTTTACGCTCTCTTTCTTCCACATAAAATAATCAATCATTGATCTATTCTTCCCACTCTTATAAGTTATATAATGTTCTTCCCTCGTTCTAAAATAAGTATTAACCACAGTAATATCATACGATACCTATTAAATTAAGAGATATGGTTCTAAAAATTAATTATTAGCTAATAAATCAATTTAAGATCAAATACAATGTAGGTTCTACATCTTTAATAAGCAAATAATTCTACAACTCTTCAATTTATTTTACTGTATAACTGACTAGCATTTTCTCTAATGTGTTTCATATAACTCGACATCTTAAGAACATGCATTTTCTAAATTCAATGTAATTTACATTTTTAATGAATCAAAACTATTAATTATTTGGGAATGATCTATTATACGGAGTTATGTTCAACCAAAGATATATACTAACACTAAAAAGCCGTCCTTTATCATCTTGTATTAATTATTTTTAAACATAATTGATTTTAGAATTTTGTACAACGCTAGTAGGTATTTAAAAATATAAAATTTGTGTTAATACTTTTACACAAATAACTTTATAAATTATAATCTTCAATTTTAACCGCTATTTTTTATATCATTGAAAGTCCGTTTGGCAACGTTTATTTACCAATGTTACTATATTATACATGCCATCAACTTCACTGGTAACTCAAAGATGACTTCAATATGATCAAATTTTAGAACTTCAGGGCACGCTATTATTGCTACTTTTTTTTTATGTATATAGAAATATTGGTGCAATTGACAAATTACCTTTTGGAAATATCCATAGATTTTATTCCAATTAATCATGTACTCTTAATTTTGAATTTTTTGTGTCCATAGACTCATATCACCATTATATAATGACTCATCTGAAGATCTCGCAGACAATGTTATAAATACACTATTTAACGTGAATAATAGGCAATCGTTAATTAATACGAAAATTCGGGTGAACGATGGAATTAAAGATTTAAATGAAATACAGCATGATGAAGACAATCTAATCAATTTATTTAAAAGAAAGCAAGAAGTTGCACACATATTGAAGTGTAGATATAGTGAATTATTAAGACGCGTTACTGTCTTTTTAACTGCTATGCAACATTTATGCCTGAGACAACATTATAATAAAAATTTTAATAACTTAAATACTTGTGTAAATTCCTTGAAAAGTACATTACCATCAGTTACAACTATGATCAATCGTTTATTAGCAATTTTGGCCTTGTTAAAAAAAGCGTCCATTGGGGATTATATGGCGAAATCGCAATCATGTTTAAAAAATGTAGTGAAAATTGCATCAGAATATAAATATATTTTAAAAAACCAAAATATTTCTTTAACTGCTGAAACTAATGCAGCAAATGCATACACATTTTTGATAGAGTTCCGTCAAAAGCAATCTGTTGTGACTCAGTTATTTTCAGATACTAAAGCCAATCAATTTCATAAAAACTATTGTGTTTTTGACAAACCATTGTTAAATAAATTTCAATTAATAGACTCATATCAAAATATTCGAAATAATCGTAATTTAATATTTTATAGATTAAGTTCAGATTTAATACAAATTTGTGAAGATTTTTTTAAAACTGACTACGATTTATGTTTTAGTAAATTAGTAAACTAATATATTATTTTTTATAAGTAAAATAAATACCATTTTACATTTTTAAAATTTCCTTGGGTATGATTCAATAAAGCCTATAGATGTATTGTAATAACATTAAAATCTTTTAAATTGTTAAATTTACTTAACATATGTTAAAAATTATGTGAGACTCGACTTTATTTCATTCATTAATAAAATAAAAAAATATAATAAAAATTTATTACTAATGAATACTATTATTTTAAATTAAAATTCTATTAAAAATATTGATTTATGACTAGAATATATAACTCAAAAAGTCACAAAAATTTTGCGTTAAATGAACCGAGAGAGCAGAGATTGAAGGTGACATATAGCGTGCAGTTGAAGAAATTAAAGTAAAAGCTATTGTATACATAAATAGTCATAAACTGGAGAAAATAGAGGAAATGGTATACTTATGGATCAAAATTACATCTGTTGTAATTTTTGTAAAAAATTTTTGTAAAAATTGTAAGGGCGTCCGCGAGATACAACAACGCATAACATTAGCAAAAACTACCTTTAGTAAAAATACATAAGTTGCTCACTTCAATAAAGTTACATCTCAATATCAAGAAGAGACTTATAAAAACATATGTATGGAATGTTGCAACATATGGATGTGAAACTTGGATAATAAATGATACCGAATAGAAAAAATTAGAAAACTTCTAGATGTGGTGTTGGAGGCGTATAGATAGGTTGGATAGAGCGGAAAACAAATGAAGAAGTGCTTAGAGCTGTGGGAGAAAATCGCACAATTATAGATGCGATTAGAGCAATACGCTGGAAAATTGTTGGACATTCCCTGAGACACCCAGAAGAGTTGTGTCATAACTTAAAAATTAATAAAAGAAAAATAAAAAGATTGAAAGAGTTTATATTGTTGATGGAATTAATGTGAGGATTAGAGTGAGAGTTACTACTTTTGATTAGGGGTGTGATTCAAGGGTTATAAAATGACAATATAAATATTCTTATAGATTTAAAAATCTTACCTGATAATTATTCTTCAGTTGTTATATTAACTTCAGTGATAATATTAATAAAATGATTAATAAAGTAACACAAATTCAAGTTTTTGGTTTACATATTAAGCACGTAAGAACTTCGACAATGATGATCGCAATATCCACGTATCGTTATGTATCCAGAGAACGAAATGAACAGTGTGGAATAAGGGCTTGCTTTACCTTTTTATAATATTTTTTATCCCCGAAAATCATCATTGTCTAATTCTTAAAGTATAACTGTTTATTTGATAAATAAGCATAAAATACAGAGATTATTACAAATGAATAGAATATAAATAATTTTGACATTTATAAATAACATTAACATAGTTTTTTCCAATAAGTCCAGGATTAATACAATGCATTTAATTATTAAAACTAAAACAACAAAGATGACAAAAATAATTTATAGATTTCCTCTCGGAAGGAATGATTTCTAAAAGTGACTACTAATCAATTTATGATAGAATCATGTATATTATAATATAACTAAACAGGGTGTTTTTTTTAAATGTTTATTTAAATTATTTGTTAGAAAAGGATCATGTTCTTCTAAGAATATAATATATAAATATCCTATGTTATGGTAGTGACAAGTATATTACGACAGTTGCATAATATAATATTAGAGGGTATGACAGAAAGAAAGAAAATTGCAGGACGTCCCCGAAACTCTTATATAGAACAAATTAAATGTGATGCAAGTGTCAACACCTTGAAGGAACTTAAAGAAAAGGCGAGTAACCGGTTAAAATAGAAAATTGGAGTTGTAAACCAATTTTTGTATTGATAAAAAAAAAAAAATGAACTTATGTCCCTTCAAATATTAGTTTAAACGTTTCCAAGTCATGATTGTTGTATTGTAGTAGATATCCAAAGAATAATTAACATGTTAGATAGAGTGTTACAGGGTAATCGATATCATCGATAATCAAAGAGATGTCTTCGTATTTAACTTGTTTATCACCTATTTACACATCACAAAATAAAAGTTTTTTTTGAAAAAGTTGACTTTTGTGGAAGAGTTATTATTTTAAATCCCCCTGTAGGCAAGTAAAGGGTCAAATTAAACAAATTTATATTAAACGAAAGAAAAATACCTAGGGTATTTATATAGAATAAATTTATTTTGATTCATTCATTTTAAAAAATGTTATAGTCGTTTTAATAAAAAAAAAAAACGGTAACACAGTGGGGTCACGGCATAGTGGAGACATTGCATAGTAGGGTCCAGTATAGATTTAATCTGACAGTGATTAAAATCACTATCATAAGAAACGCTTCGATGCAAATCTGTAGATAGTGTTTAATTTTAAAAAATTGATGGATAATTGCAAAAGCAACATCAACTTCTATTAAAATAAAATACAAAACCCATAATTATCATACAAAAATAGTATATTTTTCAATATGGTA